CCATCTGGGCCCTTTTGGATGCCCTGTACCCCATGGACCTGTGAGTTGCTGCTCCCTGCTGGCATTTGCTCATTTTTTCCTACTTCTAGTTATGGGAGGCAGGGGGACAAACCCTTCCCAAGCTACGTCTGCCTCCCCAGATACACATACATAAACACATACGTAGATGACCATGTCTGTCTATCTCCATTGCAAAGATCTGCTCTTTTTTTTTAAACAAATTTTATTAATTTTACAATTAAAAAAACAAATCTACAACACATACATAAATAGCAAAACCAGAAAAGAGCAAGCAAGCAAGAAAGAAACGTAAAAGAAAGAAAAAAGAGAGAAAAAGAAAGAAGGGAAGGTGAACACTTAAAAACATCTTCCTTTTCGACAGTTTGTAAGATCTTTTCTCTTCTTAAATTGTATCATATACATACATCTTATCCATGGTTATATTTGGATTACACTCAAATAAGTTTATCCCATTCTTTTTTATACCTTATGATACGTGATCTATCTTTGGTCTAATCATTTATACCAGGAATTCCAGTTGTTATAATATTTTGAAGAATCTTTGTTTTTTAGGGCTAGGGTTAGTTTGACCATTTCTGCACAGTCTGAAATTTTCTGGATAATCATCTGTTCTGTGGGTATATGAGGTAGTTTCCAGCACTGAGCAAATGCTAGCCTAGCTGCTGTTAAGATATGTATTATTATGTACTTCATTTTTTTTTGGTAACTGTTTGTCAAAAATCCCTAATAGGAAGGACTCTGGTTTATATTCAATTTGTTCTTTGGTTATCTCCTCTAGCCATTTTCTAACTATTTGCCAGTATTTCTGAGTTTCCTTACATGACCACCACATATGGAAAAAGTCTGTACTTTTGGACTTGTGTTGGGGTGCATCTTTGCTAACCTTGAAGGGGGGAGGTGCCATCTGTAACACATTTTGTATGCATTTTCTTTATAAGCTGCTGATTTTGTAATCTTATTGTTTCTGTTCCAAATCTTTTCCCATTTTGTTAATGTAATACTCCGTCTGACATTCCTGCTCCAAGCTATCATATTTCCTTTGACTGTCTCTTGTTCTAGTTCTACTTCCAGTAAGTATTTGTAAAATTTGGTTATTTTTTTTGTTTGATCCTAATAAAATTTTATCTAAGTGCTGAAGTTTGTTATAAAGTCCAAAATCTTTATTATCTTGTTTATATCTACTATGGATTTGGAGATATACCCACTGATCAATTTTAAATCCTCGCTCTTGTAGTTCTTGTCGTGTTTTCAATTTTCCTTGTGCATCTAATAAGTCTTTGTATTGGATCATTTTTGTAATGTCCAAATTGTTGGGGTGAACCATTGCCTCCATTGTCAATAGACAAATCGGTACTTTTAAATAAGTGTTTTTTCCGTACTTTTTTCCAATTGGTCAATAGTGAGTCTCTACTTAGATGTCTATGAAAATATGACTGATTGGGTTTCCCCACTTCCCACAAGAAGGCGTGCCAACCTCTCTGCAAATCGTGGCCTTCTAATAATAGCATTCTTTTGTTAAGTAAGTTCACCCAATCTTTTAACAATAATAAAATAGCTGCCGTATAATATAGTTCCCAGTTTGGAAGTGCTAATCCCCCTCTACTCTTCAAATCCTGTAATGCCTTTACGTTAATTCTAGATTTCTTTCCTTGCCAAATGAATTTGAGTGTTATCTTATTTAGTTCTTCAAAAAAAATGTATGCAATTTAATTGGAATTATCTGAAATAGATATACGAATTTTGGTAAAATATTCATTTTGATAGAAGCAATCCTGCCCAATTGTGAAAGTTGCAACCTGCTCCATGATTCTAAATCTTTCTTTACTTGTTGCAACAATTTGTCATAGTTGTTGTCTTTGTTTCTTACATTGTGGTGTTAGCCATATTCCTAAATATTTAACTTTCTGTTACCTGTATTCCCATACTTACTTCTAATTCCTTTTTCTGGTCTTCTGTTAAGTTTTTGGTCATTAATTTTGTTTTGTTTTTTCTATTGATTTTAAGTCCTGCTACTGCACCGAATTGTTCTAGTTCTTTTTATCAATTTATATCCTTTTTCTATTGGTTCCTCCAAAAAGAAAACCATATCATCAGCAAACGCTTGCAATTTGTATTCTTCTGTTTTAATCTTCAATCCTTTAATTTCGGGATTTTGCCTAATACATGTTAAGAGTGTTCCTAAAGAGAATATAAAGAGGAGAGGAGAAAGAGGGCAGCCCTGTCTAACTCCTTTTTCTATTTTTATTGGACCTGTGTGTTCCCCATTTATTAAGATATTAGCCTGCTGTGTATCATAAATTGTTGTTATATTTTCGAACTTAGTGCCTAGATTCATATTATAGATTTTTTGAATTAAGAAATGCCAATTTAAATTGTCAAATGCCTTTTCTGCATCTAAAAAACATAAGTGCGGATTGTTTCTCAGGGTGGGCTTCATAAAATTCTAAGACATCTATTACTGTTCTTAAATTATTCTTTATCTGTCTAGTCAGGAGAAATCCATTTTGGTCTTCATGTATGTATGGGTTTAAAACTTGTTTTAGTCTATTGGCTATAATGGAGGAGAATATTTTATAATTGGTGTTTAGGAGTGAAATTGGTCTGTAGTTGTTAATATATCTATGGTCAGCTTCCTCCTTCGGGATCAGCGAAATCAATGCTCCCCTCCATGAGTCTGGCATCTTAGCTGCCAGTAATACCTCATTAAACATTTCCATCATCAGTGGTCCAATTAGTTCCAGGATTGCTTTATATAATTCTGCCGGGATCCCATCTGGCCCTGGGGCTTTTTTATTACTTTGATTCTCTATTGCTGATTTCAATTCAGACCATGTAATGTCTTTATTTAATAATTCTATCCATTCATCTCCAATTACTTTGTCTTTCGTTTCCTCTAAGTAATTTCTTATTTTATCCTCATTAACTTTTTTTATATAACTTTTCAAAATATTTGTGAGTAATGTCTATTTTCTTTTCTATCTCATGTTGTAAGTCGCCCTTCTTGTCTATTAGTTGGTATATCAATCTCTTTTCTTTCCTTTTTTAAGTTTATAAGATAGCCATCTTCCTGTTTATTTGCATATTCAAAATAAATTTGTTTAGTCATTTTCAAATTTATTTCCATTTTTTCTTGTTCCATTAAGTTCAATTTATGTTTGGTTGTTATTAACTGATTTTGTACTCTTTGGTTTTTAGGAGTGTTTTGTAATTGGATTTCTAATTCCTTAATTTGTTGTTGTAATTTATTTTGTTGAGCATATTTTCTTTTATTTCTCATGGAATTGTAAGAGATTGTTATTCCTCTTATAACTGCCTTCAATGTATCCCAGATATTTGGTTTCGAGGTTGCATCATTATCATTTTCTTTTAGGAAACAATTTAGTTTCTCTTTAAGTTTATTAATATACTCTTCTTCTCTTATTAGTTGAGTGTTTAATGTCCATCTTTTCTTTGTTTTTTTTCCTGCCTTTCCAAATTATTTGAATTGGCTTGTGATCAGCCCATTCATTTGGCAGAATTTTGATTCCTTTTATTTCATTTGCAGTTTCCCCATTCATCCATGCCATATCTATTCTTGTCCATATTTTATGCGGGTTAGAGTAATATGTACATTGTTTTTTTTCTGGGTTTAATCTTCTCCATAAATCCACCAAACTTAGTCCTTTCATCATTTCCTTACAAGTCTTAGGAAACTTTCTTTTTCCTTTTTTATTCTTACTCAGATTACTATGGTCCTTTTGGTAATCAGCAATAGAGTTAAAATCGCCTATCATACAGATGTTCCTTTTTTCAAATCCTATTATTTTTTGGTGTAAATATTTTTTAAAAATTTCTTGTTCTTCATTTGGTGCATAAATTGCTACCAATAGAAATGAAATAGTATTAATCGAGATTTGTAAAACCAGAGTTCTTCCTTCCGGAATAATAGCAAGGGAGAACTGCAAAGAAATAAGGTAGAGTGGTAAGAAAATAGAATTTTAAGGTCAGGTTTAAATCCAATGCTTTTTGGGATTTTATAGTTCTCTTCAGACACACCGGAAGGAGGGAGGTGAAAAGTGCTGAATAATCGCTGTTCAGCAATCAGTCACTTCCCAAACTTCAATTACTCTTTTTTTCCCCAATATTTTTAAGTTCAATATCTTGATCTCGTTCACTTACTGCTTTCACCTCAATCAGTTTAGGATCAAATAATGTTCTCTTCCAAATCAGTTAAGGGTCTATTGAGCAAATAGTGTCAAATAGAATCTGCTATTTTATTGCGCTAAGTTCGAAGATTCAATGTATCACATTTGGCGCCATGTTTCCCTCTCTTCCACAGCCTCTCTCCTCTTCGGGTTTTAAGCCTAGAAAATCATCCAATGTAACAATCCACTCAAGAACTCAAATCCACAAGTCTCCTGATCTTCCAACAGTTTCTTCTTCAACTTACAGTTTTCTCCTTTCAAACACTATAATCCACACTTTCACTTCCGTCTGCCGAGCCTTTCCACCCACACTAATCACACTTTCGCTTTTTTAGCCGCTTTTCTCCCAGGCTTCTGACAGATATAACACACAATAAAAGGAAAAGAAATCACTCGCCGGTCTCACTCTTCACCTCTATTTCTGCACCTCTTTCTCCACCGATCTTACAAGCTGTAACTTTCTCGCTTTGTCACATTGGAGGTAGTCCAGACTTAGGAGCCGCCATTAGCAGGCAGCTGGCTCTTTCACGCTGGGCTCAGGGGATCTTCTCTTCGCTGCCAGGGGGTTGCCTTCCCCCACACTGCAACCTGAGGGTCCCCTACACTGACACGAATCTCTCTGGGATTTGGGTATCCTCTGGGGATCGCACCAAACACAAGAGGTGCTCTGAAACTGCAGCTGGGCTTCTCCACCTCTGCACGTCCCTGTCCTGCCACCAGAAGTTCCTCTGCTCTTTTTTTTTTTTTTTCCTCGGCCTTTTGGCTAAGATCAAGTGTAGTATCTGCTCTTTTTTTATCTGAAATAAGGGAATGTCCAAGTCCTTCTGCACAGTTCCCCTCCGCACTACATTATAAGAAAATCCTAGTGATGTTTGCTTCAATTAAATGGATCGAAAAGTCCACAGTCTTGATCTTTCTCATGGTTTAGTGGTGCAAATTCTGGTCCCAATTTCGGTTGTAAGCCAAAGACTACCTATAATTCATCACTGCTTCGAGAGCATCATCTGAAGTGGTGGATTCTTCTTTTTTCTTTTTCTTCGGCCAACATCCTGAAAGGAAAAAAAGAAAAATGCTCAGGGTGTTCTCCCTCCCTTCACCTCCAAGTCTGAGGTGTCATTGGAAAACTCATGGTGCTTCCAAAAAAAGGACTTTTTGTGAGCATCCCAGGAGATCCATGGTCAGTGACCAAGATACAGGCTACAGCCCTAACTGGAAATGAAAGATGTGACACTGTGCATTAAGTAGAAGAGCCAACTTGGTGTACTGATTAAGGCTTTGGGACTAGAAAGTGAGAGACTGTGAGTTCGAGTTCTCCTTTGAGCCCATTGGGAAATGTTAGGCTAATGGTCCCCAACCTTTCTGGCCTGATGGCCTAGCTGGAGGGGGTGGGGGAGGGTATTCTGACCAAGGCTTCCTGGGACCATAATTAAGCACATGCTTAATCCAAACAAGTCTTGTTTTATTTCAATGCTAGGAATTATGTGCATTCCCAGCCGGTAATGCAGCTCAGGTGTTTTAAACCATCTATGGTCTACAAGTCACCTTGTGGCGAGATAAGGATGCAAATAAATTTAATACATAAAAAAATTAAAATGTCTTCATTTCTCTAAGTTTTGAGTGGAGATTTTGGAAGCCACGAATCCTCTGAGAAGTCTGTCTCTTTCTCTCTCTCTCCTTAGAGCCCCGTTTTCCAACCCTGGCAATTTCCAATGTGTGGACTTCAACTCCCAGAATTCTACAGCCAGCATGGCCACCAATGAGAATTCTGGCAGTTGGAAGTCCACACCCCCGGAAGTTTCCAAATTTGGAAATAAGACCTTCAAGCCTAAACCAGAATGGCAATTCCCTCTTTCTACAAACCCATCTGTAGAGTGACAGCATACTTACCAATACATCCAATTAATATCACCGGCAGAAGGACAAGAACCACCATTCATCCCCTTCTGAAATACACAGCAGATAAAGCTGCAATGGGAATAGAGGAAAAGAGTGTTTCCTTCCTGGAATGTGCCTGAAATATTTCCATCGGTTTCTTTTTCCTAATGTTATATACTCAATTTGACATGAAAAAGCCAAAGAATTTTAGGCTTGTAATATCCATATCCTACATTCTAATTAATATACAATATAATAAGGTACAATATTCTTTCTCTTGTCTTTATTTATAACCCCACATTAATAAGGCCCTTGTGTCTTTCAAAGGGTTGTTCCCTCCTGTATAACATCTCGTGTATTATACATTTTCCCTTTTAGGTTTTGTGTTGCTGTAAATATCCCCCACCCAGATTCTTCCATGGAGAGTCTGCCAGACCCCCCCTGTTTTTCTCCAGCCTCTCACCAGCCTCTTCCATGGCCAAGTCCAGAGGTTCCTGCAAGCCATCATGTTCCACATGACACCAGTAGCGGCTCCTCTCTTTGGGATCAATTTGGATACTGAGCCAGTAGTAGTAGGTCCCATCTGAGTTGAGGACCACGGACCCCTGGAGGGTGTCTTCCAGCCAGACCTCTCCGTCCCTCCTCCAGAAGGCATCAATCTCCTTGGGGTAGAAGCCATGAGCTCGGCAGAGAAGACTTTCCTTGCCATCAACCTCAGTCCTGCTGCTCATCGTCACCACTGGGGGCTCTGCTCGTGTAGAGAATGCAGAGAATTGTCAGAAGAAAAATGTCATTTGTTCACAATGTTTGAAATTCTCCATCCCCAAATATCTGCATCTTAGTCATGTGGCTATAAGTCTGCTCCGGGGCTCAAGGAAAGCCCTGCGGAACTGCCCCCAAAGAATGGAAGGATGCCTGGGACTGCAATACCTCCAGAGAAGCCATTTCCATAAAAGGCATTTTTTTTCTCTGGAGTCAAGCATAGTTCCTGGGGCCTACGAGGAAATAACCATTCAGTTTTCTTGGCAACAGTATTTATTTATATATAAAAAAAATAGGCACTACTCATCTCACTATCTAAATGATAGCAGCGTCGCTAGGACTCTGGGTTGGAGGTTAGCAAGCTTGCGTTCAAGACCCCGCCCCGCTGCATGGTGGATCGAGCTCCCGTCATTCGCTCTAGCTCCTTAACAGGGATATGATTGGGTGTTTCCTGGGCAATGATGATGTCACTGGCTAATCTTTTCAAGCCAGAAGCACCTTTTTAATAATAAAAAGCACCTTTAAAAAATGGTGCTTTCGACACCTACGGGGACTACCTAAGTGAGTAAGGATGTATTTCTAAGTGAGTAAGGATGTATGTATTTCAATCTCCCTAGAGGACTCCCATCTAATTGCCAAGCAGGCCCAATACCAAAGAGTAAGAGCTTTCCAATTCTTCTTTCCTTCAATAACCTGCCACCTTTTCTTGGTTATTCTGCAAATGAGACAACCCGCTCTTTCTTTAGTTGCAGTATTTTGTACCACCCAATTAAGACTCTAGACCATAAACAGACACCCTCTCCTCTTATTCAGCGTTGCCATCCTTACTCTTCCTTGCCCGAGCTTCTTTGCTGTAGTCCAGCCATTTCTTCAGCAAGCCAAAGCACTCCCCTTCCAGGTAAATTTTCTTGCGCCAGCCCCTGTCCAAGTCGGCATCCCATTTCTTCTTGGTCGTTTCGGCCTCGGCGTTGGCTGCCGTCCAGTTGAGGGTGGCCTTGTTAAAGCTGAGAAAAATTTTCCCATCGTAAGCGTAGAGATCGTACCCCCTTTTGCTCCCATCTTCTGCCAGCTCACAGCCGTAGAGCCGCTGCCAGACATGAAGCTCTAAAAGAGAGCAAAATTAGTGAGCCATCACTGCACATTTAGGCAAGTTCTGTCAGAAAGAAAACCTCTCCATCCCTGCTTTAGCTCCAGCTTCAAGATTCCTTCACTCAACCTAGAGGAAGGCAAAGGAAAGGGATGTTTGTCCACTCTTCCCATCACCAATGCAGCAGTGAGCCAGGTTTTTTAAATGTTTTATTTCCAAAGTTAAAATACAAAATAAAGGGGGGCGGGGGGAGAGGAAACAAATTAACAACCATCAGACCCTAATAATAAAAAAAGAAAACCATGTGTACAAAAAAGGAAACAAACAATGAATATATCATTCACACGGACATTGAATGTAGAAAGTCCACCCTGCTTAAATGCTGACAAATATATCAAAAATATCTGATGTGTTCTCCTCCCCTTGTAGAACAGGCCTGCAAACTGTTATAAACTTTTCCATCTTTCAGAGAACTTTCTAAACCTGGATAAAAGATCTGTTTTCTAGGAGCTGCGGTGGCACAGTGGTTAGAATGCAATACTGCAGGTTACTTTTGCTGCCTGCCGGTTGCCTGCAATTTGGCAGTTCGAATCTCACCAAGCTCAAGGTTGACTCAGCCTTCCATCCTTCCAAGGTTGGTAAAATGAGGACCCAGATTGTTGGGGGAAATAGGCTGTCTCTGTAAACCACTTAGAGAGGGCTGTGAAGTACTGCGAAGTGGTATATAAGTCTTAAGTGCTATTGCTAAGTCTAAATGCTATTGCAATTGCTATCACAATGGCCTAAATCTCTCTCCTTCAAAATGACTAAGTGAGTGCATGTATAGAAATCAATATAAATGCATCCACCCTGTCACCAGGGACCCAAGAACAAGCTTCCCAATTCTGATTGAAACAGGACAAAGACACACGATTTGCAAAGTTTTATTCAAGCTTAGAAAGCAAGCAAAAAGCAGGTGGGGGGGCGGGCAGCCAAGCCTTCTCTAAGCAGGCCAGTTTTTGACTTTCCAGCCTAGCACTGCTGATTGTTTTGCATTCTCTTAGAAGTGAATCTCTTCCTTCCTCCAAGTGAAGATAGTGTGACCCTTAAACCATTTTTAGTGTTTTCTCCAGAACTGGATTTGTTCTCCAGAATATTTTAACGAAGCAAATTATAAAACTGTATGGTACCGTGTCATAGCACGGGGGCGGGGGGTCCCTAACCCCCAGGCCGTGACCCACTATCAGTCTGCAACCAATTCGGAACTGGTTCCTAGGAGCGGCAGGTGAGTGCCTGCCCACGAGCAGCTCCACCTGCATGAGCAGTGAGCGAGTGCCTGCATGCGTGCAGCTCCACTGGTGCTCGCACACAAAGCTCCATTTGTGCAAGCGGCAGGTGCATGCACCTGCTCTTGTAAACATGGAGATGCATTCGCTTGCGGGTGCACCTCTCACTCACACAGAACCATTCCCTTCCCCCTCCCGCCAGGCCACCAAGCTGGAAAAATCAGGGACTGCTAGCATTGCATATTTGCACCCACTCCTTTGTCTCTAATTACCGGTCCTATCCCCCATTTATCATTCTAGGGCTCAGGAAAAGTTTATGAAATTAATTAGCATTACCATTCATTACCCTAGACTGGAAAAAAATGGCAGGTGACCGGCAGGTAATTCTCTGGCTTGTAAACCTTTGATCTTGGTCTGGCTGTTGACCAGAAACCAAGACAGCATAGTTCATCCATCGAAAAACACTGCTTACATGCTCCATCGACTTTGTAGGATATTTAGCTGCCGGTCAGAATTTCATTGTTCGGCTTCTTCTCTCTTGGCAGATGGATTAATCCCGTTTATAATGGATTAATCCATTTATCACTAGGCAGCAAACAAAATAAGAAACATCATTCCATTAAAGCAAATCAACACACACAACTAAATCCCCCATAAAATCTGAAATCCCACATTGCATATCCCACCAGATCACCAGTAAGATACATCTGAGTCCTAGTGTTGTGGGGGGGAAGAGCCTGAGATAGTGGTTAACCTTAATCCTACCCATCCTAGTTTATTTTTTTGTCAGCAGAGCAAATATCAACTGTTTTGGTTGGTGGTTTTGAATGGATGGAAAGACATTGGAGAGTCAACCAGATGTCATGAGCTGGGAAGATGTGACTTCCCAGAAGTCAGGAATTCTATGGTACTAAGAAAAATTCTTGTCTAGATCAGCGGTCTATCAAATTTGGCAACTGTAAGATTTGTGGATGTCAACCAGGCTGGCTGAGGAATTCTAGGAGTTGAAGTCCACAAGTCTTAAAAGTTGTCAACTTCGGAGACCCCTAGTCTAGATCATTCTATATGGAGACAGAAAATCAGATACAGGTACTCCTCGACTTATAACCATTCGTTTAGTGACCATTCAAAGTTACAACAGCACTGAAACAAGTGACTTTATTTAATTTACATATTCATTCTTTCAATCAATTTCTATAGCTGTCTATCTCAGCCAAGGGACTCTAAGCGGCTTACAATTCTAAAATTATAAAACAATTTAAACAATTTAAAATACATTAAGACAGCAAAAGCATCCACAAAATAAATGAGTATAAATGACAGCCAGATAACACATAATCAGAGTTGGAAGGGACCTTGTAAGTCAACTAGTCCAACCCCCTGCCCAAGCAGGAGACCCTACACCATTTCTGACAGATGGCAGTCCAATCTCTTCTTGAAAGTCTCAACTTCCGAAGGCAACTTCTGTTCCATGGGTTGACTGTTCTGTCAGAAAGTTTCTCCTTGTTTCCAGGTTGAATCTCTCCTTGATCAGTTGCCATCCATTATTCTTGGTCTGGCCTTCAGGTGCCTTGGAAAATAGCTTGACCCCTTCCTCACTGTGGCAGCCCCTCTGTGGCAGCCATGATGATTAATGAACTTAATAGTAAAACCAAGTAACGGGACATATTCCAAACCCCAAATACAGAACCAAGTTTTTAAAGCTTTGTGAAAAAGCCAACAGGGTTGGGACTATTCTAAATTCTGTTGGAGAATATTCCATAAGGCAGGGGCTGCAGAAGAAAAAGGCCCTTTTCTAGTTCCTGCCAGTCGACACTCTTTGGCTGATGGGATCTGCAGCATGCCAGATCTGTAGGACCTTATTGGAGGGATAGAAATTCTTGGAAAAAGACAGTCCCTTAGGTAACCCCGGTGCCTTGTCACATAGGGCTTTAAATGTGGCAATCAGTGCATTGAATGGCACCTGGGAACAACATGACAATAAGTGCACAATCGTGCCTACCGTCCCTGTCCTATTGTCTCCATTTATTCATACCTATTTCCTGTATTCTTACTCATGTTTATACTTATACCTATTATCTTGTTAAGCGATTGACAAATCAAATCAAAAAAATAAATAAATAAAATAAATGTAGCTGGCAACATTTTGCAGCAGCTGAAGTTTCCAAAGGCTCTTCAAGAGTGGCCTCCAGCAGAGAGTATTATAGTATTATGGTAATCTAAGACATGGACCCTGTGCCGTGGACCAGCACAGCATGACAGAAACTGGGTCGTTGAAACAGGCAAAGCCCCACCTGTGAAATGCAGGCAGCTCGTGAAACCACAGCCTTTCCGGTCTGCAGAAAAACTTCTCTCCATGAAATTAGTCCCTGTTGCCCAAAAGGTTGGGGGGCATTGATCTAAGAGGTTACAAGGGCCAAGGTGAATGGGGAGCAGGACCTCCCAGTCCAGAAATGGATGCAACTGGAACACTATACAAAGGTGTGCGGAGGCTCCCCTATCGCAGCTACCACCGGCTCTTCAAGACCTGTGAGTCTAGGACTGGGCTGGGCAATTAATTTTCCCAAGGAGCCACGTGAGAAACTGATACTGTTGTGGTGGGCCCAACCCTAACCGTAACCTGGGGTGAGCCAATCCAATAGGCCCATCCTCTGTGAGGAGGCGGGGTAGCACCAGAGAAGTGGAGGATCACCATCAAGTGATCTGATCTAGTGGTGGGATTCAAAAATTTGTACTAACGGTTCTGTGGGCGAGGCTTGGTGGGCGTGGCAGGAGGACACTGTAAAATCTCCATTCCCTCCCACTCCTGGAGAAAGGATATACTGCAAAATCCCATTCCCTCTTCTCCCCACTAACCTGCTTTCCAGCTCTGTTCTCCTGTGCAGGGCAACCAAAGGAGACTCAGCCGATCAGCTGGGACTCGGGAGGCAGAGAATAGATGGGGTTGGTGGGGCCAGTCAGAGGTGGTATTTGCCGGTTCTCAGGACTACTCAAAATTTCTGCTACTGGTTTTCCAGAACTGGTCAGAACCTACTGAATGCCACCTCTGGTCTGACCATGGCAGGGGAAAACCCCTATCTCCCTCAAATCCAGAAAATTTCACCGCTGCCTTGATAGAAATCCAGATCCGGTGTATTACTGCTATTATGAATCAGCCAGTGGACAAGGCTTCCATAGTAATGACAAAATCCAAGCTACCTTTGACCCCATGCCCAGTGAAGCCAGATTAAAGTTACCCAGGGGTCTATGAAGATGCTCAATCAGCCCAAAGGTGCATTTCCAAAAGGCAAGTGGACTTTCTTGTTTTTTTTCCTTTGAAAATATTTCAGTTTTTATCCGAGATGCTTCTTCAGTTCTAAAGAACTTCTTACGAACTTCTCACTTCCTCTGAGATGGGGGCCCTGCCTCTCCCTCAACTATCCACTGCAACTCAATCACCCGGTAAGGGGAATGTGAGGGGAGAAGTTCCTACAGAACTTCAGCGTTGGCTCTCAGTGCCAGAAGGAGCTCTCCCGTATCCCTAGCCTCACTCAATCTACCCTGTTTCAGAACTGGCCTCTTGTACTGGCCAGCAGGTGGGGGGGCGGGGGGGCTGCATGCACATACACAACACACACATCCTATCCCTGACTCTCACTTGGGAGAGGAAGGGTGCAGAACATCCATCCCTATATTCACCTAGAAGTTGCCAATCCTATTGCCTTGAGCAGGAGTCCCCAACCTGTGGACCGTGGCCTCTTGGCCACAGGCCACACAAGTGGTTTGCTGATATGCATGCATGTGCACGCACACACACACACACACCCCACTCATGCTTAGCATCGCCATAAGACTTGCACAGGTGCTCGTGGCCCCATTTCTATCACATGGGCACTCACGGTCCCATCACATACTCACAGCTCTGTTTGCATGCACGTGCAAGTGTGCGTAAGGAGCCCCAGGCCGTCAACCCAGAAAGATTGGGGAACTCCGATCTTGAGCATCCCCAACTCCCAAAGGAAGTCCTTCCACTCCTCACTGGTAGTCCTAGTAGCAGCTTATTGGAGGCTAATTCCGGTTATCAGCTTCTGCAGTCTCTGGCAACCAGTTGCTGGGCTCATTGATTCAGCCATTCAGTTCTGGGCCGGTTGTCCCATCCACTCCTCTGCTACTATTTCCTCTTCACTGTCTTCCCATTGCCACTGCCACCATCATCCCAGGTCTCAGCTTGGTGCCTCTGTTCTCCTAACCAAGCTAAATCCAGATGCTGCCGCTCCCTCGCTGCCTCTTCTCCTTCACCGGCCTTATGGCTGCATGGACCTTTGGCTTTGGCTTGGTGTCTCTTATCTCTGGCCTCCTACTGAAGGTCCATCCTTAGGAATTCTTCAGCATCACTGTTGCTACAAATGTAAACACCACCAGTTCTGGGCTTGGCTTGGCATCTCCAACTTCCAAGCTACAGATGGAGGTCTGACCTCATTATGCCTTCGCCTTCACCCCGGCTCCGGGCCTTGAGTCCACATTTCCAGCCCCAGCTCTGATTCCCAGCTGGAGATCAGATCCTGCTGTGTTTTCAAACTTGCCTCAATGGCATCTGGCACCAGCTTCAATCACCAGCCTTGCCACTGGGCAAGCAGACCAAGACAAGCAGGGTAGAAGATAGGAAGTGGGTATGTCGACAGGGGTTCATCCTCTTTTAACGACCCTATAATCCATAAGCATTTCAGACCACTGGTTGTCCAGTCTCTTCTTAAAAGCCTCCAGTGATGAAGCACTCACAGCTTCTGGAGGCAAGTCGTTCCACTGATTAATTGTTCTATCTGTCAGGAAATTTCTCCTTAGTTCTAAGTTGCTTCTCTCCTTGTTTGGTTTCCACCCATTGCTTCTTGTCCTGCCCTCAGGTGCTTTGGAGAATAGCTTTACTCCTTCTTTGTGGCAATCCCTGAGATATTGAAACACTGCTATCATGTCACCCCTAGTCCTCCTTTTTATTAAACTAGAGCAGGTGTCAAACTCGAGTCGTCACATCGTCTTGTGATGTATTGCGACTTTTTTCCCCTTCACTAAACTGGGGGTGGGAGTGGCCAGCGCGTGACACATCTGGCCCTGGGGCCACAAATTTGACACCCCTGAACTAGAATGTCGCACAACACTCTCCACTTCATGGCAGGGAGCCTTGCACTCTGCAGAGGCTCACGCGTGCCATTTTCTCTCTGATCCTCGACTTACAACCGGTCCTTGCGTTTACAATCACTGCAGCATTCACATGATCGTGTGATCAAAATTGAGGCACTTAGCAACCGTCGTGTATTTAGCAGCATCCCGGGGTTGCGTCGTCACCATTTCCTATCTTCCCAGCTGACTTCTGACAAACAAAGTCAATGGGGGACAGTGTTGTGGTTAGCCGGCAGCAGGTGCGGATGGTGGAAGAGAGCAAGGATTCAGATGAGGGGCCAGGACCATTAGGGAATGGACTGCTACCTTCAGAGATTGTGGGGGCTGGCAGCAGCAATGAGGAGGTTCCCGAGGAACCTGTACCAAGTGCGTGTGTGCGCAGGATTGCTCGTAGGGTAGAGCAGTTACAGCAGCATGGGCGACTCGGGAGTCAGGCTGCAAGGTAATGGCCCCTCCCTCAAGTGGATAAAAGCCAGGTTTGAAGAAACATTCTTTGAAGAAGGCAAAGACGCTCTGAAACTCAGCCTCTTGGACATTATAGTTAATATTTGAAAACTCTTGTAAACTATTTCTTATCTGTGGGTTTTTGGCAGCCTTGAAAAACAACTTGGGCAAGGCTCTTTCTTGTTGGAACTAATTAGTTGGAAGCAGCCTTTTATCTGTGAAGAAACAGAATTCGTGGATGAAACCTTAAAAGGCGGGGGCTGCTGCCTTTGTCTTGAGTTTGCTCTCTTGGAACCAGGTTGGATCAGAACTGACATTGGATTTGTTTAACAACTGTGTGATTCACGTAATAGCTGCAATGATTTGCTTAACAACCGTAGCAAAAAAGTCATAAAATCGGGCTTCACAATGGCTTTGCTTAACATCAGGAATTCTGGCCCTAGTTGTGGTTGTAAGTCGAGGACTACTTGTAATCTAATGGAAGATTTGGCTTTGTTGCCTTGAACTGCCTTCTTAATAGAGAAGAGCTACTTTGGTACCAGGCTAGAAACAGGGAAGCCCTGATTTCTAGTCTTGCCTGAGCCCGAAGACCAGCTAGATAAGCTTGAGCCAATCACTCTCTCTCAGCCCTAGAAATGAGGCAAATCTGAAATCTGGCCACAAAAACTGCAGGGGCTTGTCCAGGCAGTTGCTAGGGGCAACAAAAACACAACAACCTTCTCAGCAGATTTTCCTGACAGACCCCTTGAGTTTGTCTCCCCAAATGTTAAGATCTAGATGAGAAGAAAAAATGTTCATCACATTTATTTGTTGCCCGCCTGGCAATGAAAACAAAATATCAGGGAATGTTAAGATTCTCCATGCCTTTCTCTCCTTCCTGTTGTTCTAGTTCTTGAAGCTGCTTTATTCCATTCTGAACATTCCTGCAACTATTTCTTTCTCCAGCTCATCTTGCAGGGTCGGCCTCTCCTTTATGCAGCCCAGTGCCCTGCCTTCAAATTATAATTTATTAGCACCCTACAGATTCATTAACTGTAAAGGATTAGCAAAGAGCCCTTTTCTGAATCACCTTATATCTAATGCAAGAGTGTTAATTAAATATTAAAGAAAAATATCAATGATGAAAGCCAACCATGACAGGATAGGCTGCTTGCAAAATGGTCATGGTTTCATCTTAATTTAATATTTAATCTTGTGCATTGAAATATCTACATATTTTTAAAGAGAGGGAGGGAGAGGGAGAGGGAGAGAAAGAGAGATGATAGAATAGGATAGCACAGGGTAAGAGTTGGAAGACTGGCCCAAGGATGTGAGATTTCCTGGCCGTACCTCGGCTTTGGTTGTTCTCCTGCAGGATATTCTCCAGATCCTTCCTGAACCGCTGCCCAGAATGGAGGGCTCTCTGAGTCATCCAATTCCAGAAATGGGGGTCCTCTTCCTCAATCTTCTTCATCCAGGGGCCTCGGGACACGGCCTGCTTGGTGATGCTGTTGTAGGAACCAGCAAGGAAGCCATCCCCGTAGCCCAGAGCAGTGAATTGGGGCAGGTCTCCAATGGATTCTGATACGGCAGTGTACTGATAAAGCAGAGAATGGGTGTGTCCATCTGGAAAACAAAGGCAGAGTTTCAGGTATGGCAAGGAGCACTTCCCCACCATTCAAATGGGGTCATTTGTTGACGGCAATCAATTCAGTCTTTTATGACCTCAAATTTTCCGGATAGAAAAAGTTACAGGAAGCCCTTGATTTACGACCACAATTGAGCCAAAAATGTCTGCTCTTAAGTGAGACATTTGTTAAGGCTATTTTGCCCCATTTTACGACCTTCCTTGACACAGTTGTTAAGCGAATCACTGCAGTTGATAAGTTAGTAACTTGGCTGTTAAGCAAAATCAATGGGGAAACCAGATTCACTTATCAAAAGGTCGCAATCACATGACCTCAGGACACAGCAGCGATCATAAGTATGAACCAGTTGCCAAGCATCTGAATTTGGCTCACATGGTCATGGGGCTGCTGCAAAGGTCATAAGCGTGAAAAAGTGTGGAAAATGATCATGTCAATTTTTTCAGTGCCAGAAATACAAGATAAAAGAAGTCAAATAAAATAAATAAAATAAGTCTCAAACAGCACAAATAATAATTTCAGCTGAGATGCTTGGTATTTGTGACTCTGCTTTTGTCCTCTCCACACTACTGTAGCATAGTGTGTTAACTTTTTCATTTACACATGCAATAAAACAATAAAACTTCTACCAATTAATCTTGTGATAAAATAAAGTTGCACCCCACCCAAATCTTAACAACTCTGAGTGACTCACAACAATGAAATAAATTAAAATATAGGTTTGAAATGCAGAATCCCACAAGCTGGGCAGCATTCCACAATTATTTTATAACCCAAAATAAGTACTGTTTATGATGTTCATGACCAAATGATTGAAGCCCAGAATCTTAAAATTCTAGAATGTGTCCCAGTTGTCTGATTAGTTTTCTAAATATTATTACAGATAGTTCTCAACTTACAACAGTTCATTTGACTGTTCAAAGTTACGACGGCCTTGAAAAATGCGACTTATGACTGTTTTTCACACTTACGACCGTTGCAGCATCCCTGTGATCATGCAATCTAAATTCAACTTGGCAACTGTCTCATATTTATGACACTGTTGCTCCTGGAGTCACATGGTCTCCTGACAAGCAAAGTCAATGAGGAAGCCAGATTCATTTAACAACCATGTCATTAACTTAACTGCAGTGATTCACTTAACAACCATGGCAAGAAAGGTCATACAATGGGACAAAGTTTACTTAACAAATGTTTTTCTTAGCAACAGGAATTTTGGGCTGAATTGTGGTCATAAATCAAGAATTATCTGTATATGTGTTGTCTTCTAAATGCTCTATAATCTTGTACTCTATATGCTCCTCTCTGCTACCAGGAAGACGGGCTAAGAGCCCTGGGTGTGGAACACTATCCAACATGGAAAATAAATACTAGAAGAGAACAAACAAAAGAGAAAATATTTTCATAGTTCAGGGCATATCCATACATACATTCTACATTCTATTGTTCTGGCTAGGATCCCAGATTTTGCCTATGCCCTTTGGGACTTTCCAAAGCCACCTGAGATCCTCCCAATAACAGGTGCTTTTTTCTTCTGTTCTTTCATTGGTTGTCCTTTCAACACACCACCGGCACACCTTTGGACAACCAAACACCTGATTGTCATTTATCAGGGAGTGCTGGTAGGTGAGGCCTGACCTTTGATCTATCTATCAAATGTAAATGGCCACTCATGACACCAAAATAAACTCTGGACTGCCTCCAACACCAATGAACATATCAGAATCAGAATCGAGCTGGAAGGGACCTTGGAGGTCTTCTAGTCCAGCTCCCTGCCCAACCAGGAGATTCTTAAAAACCTCCAGTGTTGGAGCACCCTCAACTTCTGAAAGCAAGCTGTTCCACTGATTGAATTGTCCTCCCTATTAGGAAGTTTCTCCTTAATTCCAGGTTGCTTCTCTCCTTGATTAGCCCCCCCCCCTCCCCCCATTGTTTCTTTTCCTGCCTTCTGGTGCTTTGGAAATTAAATTGACTCTCTTTTCTTTGTGGCAGCCTTTCAAATACCAGAATACCCCTATCATGTCCCCCTTAGTCCTTCTTTTCTCTAAACTAGCCAAACCCAAATCCTGCCACCATTCTTCATATGTTTTAGTCTCCAGGTCTTTAATCATCTTAGTTGCTTTTCTCTGCACTTTTTCCAAAGTCTCAAAGCATCAAAGGACATTAGTTTATAAACGTAAAATAGCATTAAGGCATACAAAAGATTAGATGTTAGCAGACACAATGGACCACTGCAAATCTCCTGGGTCCCCTGAGACCTCCCTCCCCTGATGACCCAACCAAGTCTTGAAGGACCTTCGGAAAATAAACTGGGTTTAAGCTAACTTCACGGGGATGAAGAATGGCACCAGGGTAAGAGATTTTTGAAAGTGGATTTTTGTAAGAGAGATTTTGGCAAGCGGCGATGCCAGCACGGTGGACCGCTTGGGCTGAGAACCAGGGGCGTTGCAGTCCGGCTCCCTTTTGCGGGCTCTCGGGTCCCGTCGCACCTGCCCACCTGCTGCACGGCGCTCGCGATTCGTGGCTCGTAGATTCGTCCCTTCCTCTCGCCGCGTCCACCTGATGGTTTTTTTTCCTGGCGTGCTGGCCAGGCGGGGTGAGAGGAGGGGATCGCCTCGAGTGAAGCCCCCGCGGCGAAGCCCCCCCCCCCCTCCTCCCCGTCTCTCTCCTCCTCTGCCCACGCTTCGCCCACGGGCGCTCTCCCCGCTACTCACCGGAGCAGCCGCTGCGCAAGAGGAGCAAAAGCAGCGCTGGGAGAAGGAAGAAGCGCTTCGTCGTCCGGCGGTCTGGAGCCCCTCGGAGCCCAGCCGCCCTCCGCTCCTCGGGCTTACGGGGGATCCTTCCTTCGGTGAAGATCCGGGGGAAAAGATAAAGGTGATCCATAAGATCGAGCCCCCGAGTTTCTTGCGAACCACCACCCTTGGGACGAGCCTTTCAGAAATGCAGATCCCGAATAGCGCTGTGGTCACAATGTTGCGTGATCGATCGCTCCGCCTCCCACGATTCGGCGAACCACGCCTGAGTGGAAAGTACCTGGCCCCGGTGGGTAAGGAGACGGACGGTTGCTGCTGCTTCTCTCTTTCCGCTCTTCTGGTGCCTTCCTAGTTCGGGAAAGTGTTTCTTTCACGGACCGGTAGTTGTCGATTTCCAGCAGTTCGGTTCCAAGTTACAACGGCACTGAAAAAGGGGATTTATGAACGTTTTTCATCCTTAACAATTGTGGCAAGAAATACCCCTCTGGTTCAGTTCCAAGCCGGGAGAAAGGCACTGGAGACAAAATGGAGGCTGGAGGCTTGATTGGAAAGATAGAATAGAGTAAGAGTTGGAAGATGGTTTAATGATGAGCAGAACCACCAAGCACATGGTTCTGGGCAGCTGAAGTTGAGAGTGGTTGGGTGCACTTATATCTTCTCCTAGGCTTTGCACTTGAGCTTGCTGTTCCTCTGCAAGAACATGTATTCTACTGGCTGTTGTCAGACACCCATAGTGCCATGTAGGGGTTGCGTAGGGGTCATAGCTGGGTCTATAGGAAAAAGGGAAAATGCAAATCCTAGACCATCTGGACACGTACCTGCGTTTTGTTGCCTTTTTTTCTGGGATGCACTTCCAACTTCGTCTGCTTGCCTATAGTTCTGGGATTTCCTCAAAGTCTCCCATCCAAGTATTCACCAGGTCCGACACTACTGAGCCTTTTTGAAGACATAACTGTTTGAAGGATTCTTTCCTTCCCACCCACCCACCCTTCTTTCTCTGGAAAACACATTTGCTTAATACTTTCAGGCATTCTTGTTTTGTTTCCTTTTTTCTGTGTATGACTGCAGAACTGATATTTCTTATAATTAACCCCTCTTTTCCTCTAGCAGACTAGGAACAGCAAATTTTCCTGATTTGTTCATCAGAAAGGCAGCCAATATTGCATTATGTGCTGGTTACAATTGAACCTCAATCATGCTTTGCCATCTCCAAGGGAATCTGGGTATCAAACAGAATAGAGCTGGAGGTCTTCTAGTCCAGCCCCCTGCTCAAGCATTTCAGACAAGTGACTGTCCAGTCTCTTCTTAAGGCCCTCCAGTGATCCGCATCTTCTGAAGGCAAGCTGTTCTACTAGTTAACTGCCCTTAAAGTTAGGAAGTTTCTCCTTAATTCTAGGTTGCCTCTATTCTTGATTAGTTTCCATTCATTGTTTTTTGTCTTCTGGTGTTTTGGGAAATGAGTTGACCCTCTCCTCTTTGTGGCAGCTCCTCAAATACTGGAATGCTATCATATCACCCCTAGTCCTTTTTTCTCTACTGGCCATACCCAATTTCATACATTCTTCATATGTTTTAGTCTTCAGGCCTTTAATCCTTTTAGTTGCTCTTTTTTGCACTTTTTCCCAAAATATCTGAGCCACCATTCCTTCAAAACCACATGCAAAGGAGAGAGGCAAAGCTGGGGCAGAAAGAATCTCCTGGGGGAACCAAATGTGCTCCTGTCTCCCATTTCTGGATTTAAATTGTTGATTAGTTACTAGGGACATTTTGACAGCAGAAATAATATGGTTATGGGGGAATATTCCAGGTCTATGGAGGAAATCAGCAGGACATTTTTTATATTCTGCAGGCTGGGCCATGCATTAAACAAATTAAAAATACTGTAAGTTGTATTTAAAAAATAATATGGTGGTAGGAAAGCTTGAATTACTTCAGTCTGTCTATAGCTTATTCAGAAGAGCATTCATTCATCTAATTCCAGCATTTTCTTACCATCTGAGCCAAGTGTATTTGGCAGTTTTTATTTATTTATTTATACAGCTGCCTATCTATCTCACAAGCAAGCTACTCTGGGTAGCATGTGACAAAATAAAACAATAAATATCTAAAATCATTATCAATAAAGATTAAGATTAAAAACTATAAAAAGCTAAAATAAAGGTGAGGATCTTAATAATAATGGAACTGTCTCCCCCAAGGATAAAGCTGAAGTGATTAGAAAGAACATTAGTCTTTATTTAGTACTTGGTTATTTTATAGGTTTCATTCAACATATGGAAGATGCCAAACAGGTAATTATCTGCTTTTCTAGGCACTGAAAAATGTTATATTAGTTACAGAATAAGAGAGTTGGAAAGGGACCTTGGAGGTTTTCTAGTCCAACCTCTACTCAAGCAGGAAACCTTATACCACTATATGGTGTTAGACTTTCTGTGAGGAAATAAGTTTAGTTCAGATTTCCCAGGTTCTCTCTTTTTTTAACTGAGACCAACTTTAGGCATAGGAACTCTTCAGTCCTTTTCCCCCCTTGTAGGATCTGGCTCTTCCCTCCCTCGTGCTCTGACAGACTCTCTCCCTCCCCCACCCAGTTTAACGGCTTTCCGGCCATATATTCACGCTCCCTCCTTCGTTTTCCAGCCAATAGTCAATTGACAGACTCCCGCCCCCTCCTTTTAACGGGTTTCCGCCAATATTAACCCTCTCTCCTTCCCACCGTCGCGCTGACTCTCCCCCAACACCATTTAACGGTTTTCCCGCCAATATTCATCCTCCCTCCTTGGCTCTCCCGCCAATATTCACCCTCCCTCCGTCGTGCTCTGACAGACTCCGCCCCCCCTTCTTTTTAACGGCTTTCCCGTTATTCCACGCAGGCGTTTCTCCCCTCCTATTTCAGAAGCAGTGATGTCACTCACCTCTATTCTCCCCCACGCGCACATTTGACTCGTAGGGATAAAAAAAAAATCTCAGCGTTTTATCACCCTTCGGAATGAAGTTTTTTCCTCTGCTCTTAACAGTTCGGACTGTGATTTGGACAGAACAAGTTTGCAAGTTGTGGCTAAAGGGCGAAACCTCCTTTAAAATTCTGTTCCCTTAAGAGACGAAGGTGGCTGCTTCCTCCTTCTCCCCACAGCGATGCCCTGAATATGCACCTTCCTTAGCCCTGGGCCCTTCAGAGACCCTGTAGCTCTCCTCTCCTCCCTCTGGCAGGCTCTTGTCACTCCTGACAGACTCTCTCTTTCCCTGAGAGTTTAACGGCTCTCCCGCCAAGATTCCCTGCGGGGTTTCCTCCCCTCTGTCTCATTCCAACAGGGGCGGTGACATCATCACCTCCCATTCCTTTGAGTTATCCTTATATTCAATTATAACATATGTCCTATTGCAACTCTGGTGCCACATTATGCAGGTAGTCCTCAGCTTAGGACCACAATTGAGCCCCAAATTTCTGTTGTTAAGTGAGACATTGATTACATGAGTTTTGCCCCATTTTATGACTAAAGTCACTAAAGGAACTGTTGTCAATTGAGGACTACGTGTAGTTATATATATTAATTGAATATATTGCATTGTCCACTTTTACATTAGTTTCCATCCATTGCTACTTGTCCTGCCTTCAGGTGTTTTGGAGAACTGGGAGTCAAGCTATTCTCCAAAGCACCTGAGGGCAGGACAAGAAGCAACGGATGGAAACTAATCAAGGAGAGAAGCAACCTAGAACTGAGGAGAAATTTCCTGACAGGGAGGACAATTAATCAGTGGAACAACTTGCCTCCAGAAGTGGAATGCAATGACAATAAAGCTATTCTATTCTATTCTATTCTAGGTGCTCCAACATTGGAAGTTTTTAAAGAACAGATTGGACAACCATTTGTCTGAAATGGTACTACTCCTACTGTATAGGGTTTCCTGCCTCAGCAGGGGGTTGGACTAGAAGACCTCCAAAGTCTTATCCAACAGTCTTATTCTGTTACATGCACACTTATGTTTGTGTCTGTATGTATGCTTTATTAGAATTGATTATGTACACCAAGAGTATTTGCACCAAAATAAATTCCTTGTGTGTCCAACCACACTTGGCCAATAAAGAATTCTATTCTATTGTATATCAATGATTACATGACTTCTCTAGATATCACAAATAAACCACTGTATTTAAAGGAAACACACTGACCTTAGTGTAATATAATTTTTCAGAATGAAGCTTTTATTTATCCTAGTCTGTTGCTCTCTGCCCTCAGAGAAAAATGGCAGTTGTTCCCTGTGACTGTATCATTTACTTTCATCTCCATCTGAAATCAGTAAAGATTCAACAGTAGACTTCTGCCGAACCTCAACCGTCCTGGGGCGCAGAATACGGAGCTAATACAGAGCATCGGCCGGAGGCAGGAAAAGTGTGTGTGTGTGTGTATGAAGCAACATTCTCTCTTCCTGATCTCGACCTTTCTGGAAGCTGAGAAAACGTGTGGAGTCGTGTACAGAGGAAAGTGAGATGCTGCTCTTCTTGCAAGCAGATGTGGAAAAGTGAATCCCTATCCTCTTGAAAGGCTTTCTGGGGAAATTGGGGAAGGGGCTGGTAATGCGAGGGAGGGGGGACCTTTTTGCCCCCAGTGGGAATATAGGAGGGAGGGGAAGCCTTGGGAGCAGTTGGAGGCACCGACTGACTGCCTTCTCTGAGTCCCAATTTCCTATCAGCGCCTCTGGCAATCTGGGAAATTTGGAAAGTGCTTTGCCGCCTGCTTCCCGGGAGGAGAGAGTCCCAGCTGGTAGCCCCCCCCTCCCCAATCTACACAAATCCTGGTTCTCCACTTCCCACATGGTCCCTTTGTTGTCCTCGGAATGTCCTTGAGGCAGCTGCAAGACTTCTCTTGCAAGCAGGACACCCAGTGCTGGGTTTTTAAGCCTAATCTGGGTTCCTAGTTTCTTTTTTTCTTTTTAAAAATTTAAATCTAAAGTTTTCTATACATCACCTATTGTATGTATCAAATAGATAAAAAACTAGTTTAAAGCAGATTTACAGGTAGTCCTCGACTTAACAACAGCTTGTTTTGTGACCGTTCAAAGTTACAACATTAAAAAAGTGACCTATGACCATTTTTCATAACCTATGACCGTTGCAGCCTCCCCAGGATCATCTGATCAAAATTTGGACGCTTGGCAACTGACTCATATTTAATGACTGTCACAGTGTCCCAGGGTCACATGATCCCCTTTTGCAATCTTCTGACAAACGAAGTCAAC